TACGAGAAGCACCATTTGGGCCAGTTTCACCAACGCTTAGCGCTTTTTTTACCTTTTTTTTGAAAAGGTAAGTTTGTATATAATTACTATCAACTTTACAGAAAAATTTCAAGAGATAAAAATTATTTATTTTCTTTTCATAGAGCTCTAAGAATTTTTTCAGAATTTTTTATCAACTTTTTAGTACTACATTTTCTTGTTGGCAACTTTTTTACCAGCATGAGAAACTGCGGTATTAAAAAATTCTGAAAAAATTCTCAAAACTTTATGAAAAAACAATAATTTTTGTCATTTGCTGTTTTTCTGTAAAGTTTTAGTAATTAATATCTTGTTAATCGTTGTGAAAATTGTAAAATGATAGAGGACTCAGTTTAGTCCGCTCTACACTGTTAAATCTATAGTGTCAAATTTAATCTAATGTGATTTGCCACTGCTCCTACTAAATATCGTTATTTTTTACTAAAATGATAATTAAATTTGATACTATATAATGATAAATTGCTACTGTATAGTGTCAAATATAACCATTGTTTTAGTAAAAAATAATGATATTATTGAGTAGGAGCAGTAGCGACTCATATTAAATTAATTTGACACTGTAAGACTTAACAGTGTACCCCTATGCAAGAGTTTTATCGTTACTTATCAAACACCCTGCATATACACAGGCATGTTAATGCCATTGTTGCTTGTAAATATGTCTAGCGGCAGCGAGCACGCACCTCGTTGGGCGATCTTATCTTGCATTTGGCGATGGACTGGGCGAATTTAGCTATTTTTATGAATTAATGTCTCGTTAACCATTGCGAAAATTGCAAAATGATACAGGACTTTTCAACTCAGTTTATTCCGCTTTATCTACGCAAAAGCACTTTGCCAAAAATTGCGGAACACCCTGTATATATTAGATGAAATATTCTACGTATGCATCTATCTAAACTTTGCAGTTTATGTCAGACTGCTTGTATTTTCCTTTTAAAGAATTTTCTTTAGACATTTTAAATAATATTACGAAGTCTTCCGTCTTACACCAAGTACAGTTACAATAAAATAAAACAACATCCATCCCACAACTATTATGAAACCAATATAAACTTGCTCTTCAAATACAGAATTACCTTTGTAGATGATTCCTCTCATAGATATAGAGGGCAAAGTAGTTGGCAATATATAGCTGATCCATCGAAGCCCTTTTGGCATTCCTTCTAATGGCCATATACATCCTATGATTTTGTGAATTAGTATATTTAAAACAATTCGACTACAGTAAATGATGATCTTTCGTTAAATGTTGTTAATTTTAATAAATATTTATTAAAATTTTTTATATTATTGGCGACACTTGTCAACAAAATTATCGTAACGTAAATTTATGCTAAAATTTTGCTTAATTTCAAGTAAACATAACTTTATGAGAAATAGTATTTAAAAATTTTGTTTTCATTCTCACAATGGTAGAGGCTGTACTTAAAAAAATTTTTCATAAATTTTGAATTTATTCTTACTTCCCCCCATCATCTTTCTTAAAGGAAGGACGTGTCACGTCTCTAAAAAATTACGTAAGTTTAATACATCTTATGGAGTGAAATGAACTTTTTTCACAAATGTCATGATATAATTTTCGTAAAGTATGTATTTTTTCTTGCAAATTAAGAAAAATAAAGCTTCTTATGATTTTTTTGTTGCGTATCAACGTTTTACCTATGTATTTTTGTTCAATTTCCTCCAACATCAGCATTAACCAACGCGCATCAAAAAGAGCTTGCTGTTCGGATTTTGCGTATCATATGCGATAAGTTCGTTTGCACTTCAAAATCTTGTACTACTGTCTCGTCTTTGAATAATTTCGTGCAAACGCTTATATATGTATGTATATTAAATGCAAGTTTTAATTGTTGCCTGAGGAATTTTTTAACATATGTGATGTAATGCTGTTTCTAGTTATCGAAGATTTATTGGTAGTTTTTCCAAACTTTATAGCCTTCTTCTTATCATCTCACACACATGAACGAATTTAAATCAAACTGAAGTAAGCACTGTACCACAAGTGCTGTTAGTATTGTACATACTTCTAATTACGGTATTATTTTACTGGAGTTTAAATCCCATCGAACATGCGTGGAATATAATCGGAAGAAGACTACAAAGTTTGGAAGAATCACCAATGAACTAGAAGCAGTACTACACCAAATATAGTGGAAAACTCCTCAGACCACAATTAGAGCTTGCATCAACATATATAATAGCAAGAAATTATGCGAGAATGACAGAAATACAAAATTATAAAATGTAAAACATAACTCTCCCAACACGCATACGCACGCACACAACACACACACACACACACACACACAATGCGCATTACATCTCGACTGGAGAAAAAATACTAGCCACTTCTCCTTGATGTGCATCGGCTAATGTTACTGATAATTGAACAAAACTGCATAGGGTAACTTCGGTATATACGCTGCACCTATCAAAATCATAATTTATTAAGTATTATCTACTATGTTTAAAGTAAACAAACTATCAATAAAAATTTTGTACTGTCTACTACTGAAACAACCTAACCTTCGTTGTACGGATTAACTAATCGTTGGAATATTTGCAAGACAGGGAAACAAAAGAAATTCAAGTCGGTGAAAGAAGACACTTACGAAATCAAGAAAAGTAATAAAAGAAAATATAATAAGTATTTATTTCTAATGGTCACGATTACTGTAGTTTGACAAATATATAAAACGATTAAAACAGAAAACAAAACACAATATTTGGAGATATATACACATATATATATATATATACATATATATAAAATTATTTGCACTGCGCGATAATAAAAACGTGATTTGTTGAGCCCGATTAGTAAAGAAAATGCAATATTTGCAAAAACATGTCGCAACATGTTTCGCGATGACACCATCAATTTAACACGTGCAAAAGTGCATCCCTTGCAATGAAAAGATTTTAGATACATCCGGTGATAACGTTAATATAATTTGACGCCGCAAATTGTAGCGTCAGCAAAATTGCAAATTTCAATATGACCTTGTCAGTGTAATTTAAGAAATTTTTTCAAGGGCATTAACATATTTTGGCGATGACATCAATGTAATTTGATACAACACTTGCAAAATATGCAACATTTACAATTTCATCAAAGTATATCTGCTTTGTTAGCGTAATTTAAGAAATTTTTTCAAGGACATGATACGACATATCACAACATGTTCGAGCGGTGATCATCAATGTAATGTCACGTGACCAAGTAAATAATATAAAAGTAACAAGATTTAGGTGCATCGCACTATTAGTCAATCTAACAGCACAAGTGACAACATGGAGCGTGATATGATTGAGCTACCCTGCTTAGTACAAGAGAAGAGTACGTCGCGTGGGAACAACGTTGTGATGAATTTATAGAATCTCTGGAGGAACAGAGCCGTATCAAACGCCCGCGATTATTAATTGGTAATAGACAATCAGTGATCGCATGTATCGCGCGGCTTGAAAGCTTGAAGGATTTAGTGCGTGGACGATTCGTGCACGTAGGCACCGGATATGGACTTCAATGGCGCGAGATCGAAACGGCATTCGAAAGCCGTATTCTAACGGGCGCGGTAATAAACTCCAATTACATCGAACCTTGGCGATTTCTCGAAGACGCGAGTGAAATTGTGCTCGAGCGTGTACAGTGTATCATGCAGAGATATGACTCTATAAAAATAAACACTTTTTAATGGTGAGTTCGTGGCTGGTAATAAACGCGCGAACAAGAGTATCGCCACCCGGAATATTGAAGTCTTTCGATTTATCGATTTGTGTGAGTGGTACGTGACGCGCGTTGTCGAGCCTATCCTAGCATCGTTGGAAGAGTTCCAGGAACGCGACAGCGGATGGGCACTGTCGCGTATATTAAATGTAGCAGTGAACGCGAATAAACCAAATCCTCTGCGCGCGGGATGTCACATCAAACTCCCGCGAGAAATTATGCTAAAGGGAGCGGTTATAAACATGCAATCCACGGACAATGCATGTTTTACGTGGTCGGTGGTCGCGGCTCTACATCCAGCTCAAAAAAATGTGGAGCGAGAGTCATCATATCCGCAACACTCATACTTAATCTCCAGAATATTCAGTTTCGGATGACATTGAGTTAAATTAGGAAATTTGAAGCTCTAAACGACATTTCCATCAACGTGGTGGTAGTGGTGGTGGTGATTATTATTATTATTGTTGTTGTTGTTGTATCCAGATGCCTCCACTACTTTAGTACAAGTGCAAAATTGGAGACTCACATCGAGGATTGTGGAAAACTGAATGATTGCGCAATCAGATTACCGAGCGAGGACGATAAATGGCTGAGCTTCCGCAACCCCCCACGTGGGGCACGGCCTTGACGTGGCGTGGGGCCTCCCCCGGGTGCTGC